TCATATCATTTGCAACATTCATCTCATATACACCATCTCCTCCAGGAATACTTGAAATCGCGGCTAAACTGCGTGCTCGTCCGAGATGACTTTGAGGAAGGCGACTTACTCCCGACCAGAGAAAAGCCCAAGAGGAAGTGGATGGAGAGAAATAAAGAGATCGAAGAGGAACTGGAATACGATTCATCCGAGGAGTCCTGTGAAAAGATCAGGAAGATTGAAGATGATGAAGTGTGGTAGGCTGTTTGGTATGGATGTAAGGACGAGCTTTCTAATAAATGATACTTTCTGTTGAAGAGTTTTTTATATACATATATTTCCATGATGCAGCAGTGACATCCCTGTCGATATATACACACATATATAATGTGTGTATATATGTAATGTGTTTATATATATATATATATATGTATATATTTAAATATATGTGTGTGTGTATATGTGTAAATATATATATGTATATATATGTATAAATATATATATATATGTTTATACATATATGTATATATATGTATGTACATGTTTATATATATGTATATGTATAATTTTTTTCACCTTATATATTACAGCACATATCAAGCTATATAGAGAAAGAGAGTAATATTTTAGCAACTATTTTATAGTGAATTATATTTAAATATGAGGTGAAAATATGACACTGATATTTTGACTGGTAATTCTGAATCAGCACATAAGCTCAAAAAGACAGTAAGAACAATTCAGTGAAATGTCATCAGTTAACCCAATACCACTGGGGATGACATGTAAGTGCCACTGCCTCAGTTAGTTCAGATTATTACTTGCATTTACACATTGATGACTTCACAAGGACCAAGTCACCAAGGAGTCAATTGTTAGTCTTATCTATCTCAACTGTTTACCCTTTTCCTTGCTTTCCTTTATTTTTCATAAATATTTTTATTTTATATTACTACTAGTAATGTTAATAATACTAGAATAATCACAATGTTAATAATAATAATAGCATTAGAAAAAAAATCCTGAAAACTCAAGGAAGTAAATATTGAGGTCTACTTATTGACTAATTGAGCACTTGTGGAAACACATTTCACTAAACAAAACTACAATGAACATTACATGGCCATGAGTTAATGATGTCATGATGATGACTAATGAGGGCTTCCTATATCAGCTCCTCGTTTCTAATGAATTTGGTAAAGCAACTTGTTGAACTGTTAACAAGATGGAGAAACCAGAGAAACCAGCACTGAGGGGCAAATCCAGTGACTAGGAATATTAGAGGGGAAGGAAATGGACTTCAGCTGTTGACCACTAATGCCTGCTACATTTATCTGGTCGCTAGTACGTGTCAGCAATGTACCTGATGAAGATGGCAAAAACCTTTGGTAAAGTTATGTACATACATGAAGTGCTCCTCCACATCTGGGCAGTTGTCTGGCTCATGGAACGTGGAATGGTTTAGAAGCTTAGACTTATTCATGATTCTAGATTGGGAAAGTTTGCGCATTATTGCATTTTGATATTAACCTGAGGACTCCAGTATGAGTTGACTTTGGAATATATATAGGCCCATATTTAATGCTTAAAGTGTTTATTATGACAATTATAAAAAGTTATGAATGAGAATGAATGTATTCAGAGTGTAAGAAATTATTTGACTAGTTCTGATACTATCTTTCAGAAATACATGTATTTTTGAAGATAAAGTTGAAACTGGCAAAATACATCTCTTGCACTGTGAAGATGTTCATTCTCATTCATACATATTTATTATATTTAATGTTGTTTATTGATGCAAAACATAAATATTCATGATCGTAATGAAAAATAACAGGTAGAGTAAAATTAAATGTATTCCTTTCAATACACTACATCTGTGAAATGACTATAAATTGTTCAGGCATTTTTAAGCTTCTGTCCATTCATGTATGTATAATCATGCATTATTCCTTTTGATAAGTTTTTGTTTATATTTCCCTTTCCTTGCATTCACCTATGCACAAAGAGTCATGTATGCAAGAATTCCACTTCTATAATTTATGCATACCCATTCCAGTAGTATGTTCATTGTTTCCTCTATGTTCTGGATACCGCATAGTGCAGGTGAAGTGCAATGCTTTGTGCTTAACAAATGATCAGTGAACATAAATTGTGCATAAAATTAAGCAGATTATTTATTACTGTTTACTCTATTTTCAGTTGTGACATGAATATAGGCAGTTTACATGCTTTTCTTTTGGGCCAGACTTCTGTTATGAATACCAAACCTGAGAGTGAAATGGAGTTCTATCATGATAACTTCTTTGGAAATTTCAGTATATATTTGGCATATTGGTATAAATTTCTTTTTCATTACTGTTTCTCTGACTGTAGCCCGGAGGACCAGCCCAGGTTACCATCATAAATAAAAGAGAAATAAGCATGGCAGTCATCTAGGGTCAGTTAGTAGATACAGGCCGACCAAATTATCAGTTAGTGCCTTGCCTGTCATGTCATTCAAGCGTGGGGAAAAGAATTCCTCCAGTGGCATTAATCTATTTGAATTGAGTACTTTGGGAGTGCATATGGCACTGACTAAAACTTCTGAGGGATCTAAGGAAACTAGATGATAAATGCAAAAATATATCATCTGAGCACTATGTACCAAGTGCCTCAGGAAAAGAAATCCAAGTTAAGTATACCACTGTGTTTCTCAAAACTCTCAGATCATGAAAGCTTGTTACAAAATGAGAATGCTGTGCAGAAACTCCTCCTATTTACATACTAGGATGGATGGTTTTATAGTTAAACATTAAGCACATTTTAGTGTAATGAAGTTTTCTTGCTTAAATCAAACCGAAATGTGCAGAAAACAGGAAGGAGGGAGGGAGGGAGATGGGATATTAAGAACATTCTACTTATGAACATTCTATACATACAAACAAAAAATTTTTTAGTACTAAAGTCTAAATTGTTTGAAAGATGCTAGCAAACTTCAAATTTCCCGGGCGCAAATATAGTTCAAGAGTCTGGTACTGTATAAGGTATGTCGTACTTATTGGAATTTATTTACAGGTATTCTTAATGTAAACAAAACCTTAAAACAAAGGGAAAAAAGGTAATGGAGACCCGACTTTCGACATACAAACAAATCAACTTACAAACAGCTTCTCAGTCCCCATTATGTCCTTAAGTTGGGAACTTACTGTATACATATATACACATACAATTTAGTAGTTACTAAGCTTTTAGTAAGCTTATAACAAATCAAATGGTGATGGTTAATGGTTAGAAGAATTAAATGTGCTAGACATCAAAGGTCATATAGCACCATGGTAAAGTATTGTGGCAAAAAGGGTGGAAATGAGTTAAAGATCAGGATAAGATTTCTTAGATGTCAAAGGTTGTAGAAAATGTAGGATAGGATGTTAGTGGAGAGGGTATAGAGGGGAGCAAATGGAATACAATGAGGATTTGTGAATGGGGATGTGGTTAGAGGTATAGGGCGATCAGATCATGGAAAGCATGTGTCTCAGGAAGAAAGAGTAACACTGTATGAGGAAAGTGCAAAAGAGCTATTATAAAACAGTCAGTGGGTGATACTTTAAGAAACAGTTGTAGAAGTAGGAGAAGAATATTGAGAATGAAATAAGGGAACAGGGGAAGGTGGTAAAGTACCTGGAAGAATGTCAGGAGGGAAGGGTCCACACAAGGACATTGTTGAGACACAAACCGGGCTCCCCTCATGGGCATAGCCCGGGCGAGGCTCTGCTTCGCAAATCAGACGATGACGACAAAAAAAAAAAAAAAAAAAAGGCGTTACATGAGCATCCAAGTGGGGGTGGTAAGGATAATGAGGAAGGAAGAGGAAATGGTGATGCACATGAAGGGGGAGAGGATGGGTTGTTTTTGGGTGAGTGGGAGGAAGAGAGGTTGGGGGAAAATTGAGGAGGAGGACAGATATCAGCAGATACTTTCAGTGTAGAACAAATATAGGAATTAGAGAGTAGGTCAATGAGTCATGTTTATGGATGTTTTTAAGAATTTCTGAAGGGGATTTGAGAGCAGATGAAGAGGTGGTTGTAGGAGAGGATGTGGTAAGAGAAGATGGGAGGGGTAAGCACCAGGGAAGTGGTAGAGTTCTTGAGAGGGGAGCGGAGCAAAGTGCAGCTTTCAAATAAGTAGGAGGAGAAAAACCTTGTTGGTGTGCTTTTTGTCTGGCCTCCCGTAGAGGGAGCCCTAGTTTGAATCTGAGAACTGCTACCTCGGATTCAAGCTTGTAGGCAGGGCAGCTCCAATAAAATACATAATGGGAGCCACCACAATTGCCACACATGCAACAGTAACAGTGTTCAGCTGGGTGGCCAAAATGACATTTCTGACATTGACAGGGAAGAGGTCGATGTGGTCATACAGGGCATGACACTCCACCAATATAAACTTCATGGGGGAGGTCATGTCTACTGAAGCTAATCTTGGCAATACTGGTGTAGGACTTACGTTGGCCTCTGGGAGGAATAGTGTAGCACTGGACTGCCACTGCATGATAGTCAAAAAGGCATACGAGCAAGTCATTTTCACAATCTGACCAGTCCTTGTCATAGACAGGACAGTCAGTTGGAGAGACGGAAACAGTTCCAATACAAGTATTACGGGAGGAGTGAGGTTGAGCAGGAATGGGTTTGCCGGAAGGCCAGTCAGGGTAGATGGTGCATGAGCACATTATTCCAAGAGAATACCATGCCCATGGCTCCTGGATGCCATTGATGACTGACACAGAGCCAGCCTTTCATCCTTTCAGCATGGCTCTCACACCTAAGGAAGTGGACAGAAGAAAGGTATGATGGAGACAAGCCCATGCAAAATTAGTTGAAGCGAGGGCTGAGGTCCAAGGCAGGGCAATCCCCAACATTGGTCCTCAGTCTCCGTCTCCTAAGCCCCCTCCCCCACGACTACAAGAACGGATTAGGGAGGAAACAAATGTTGAGCAACCCTTGTACATCTTGTAATGTTTATGGATCTTTGTGTGGAGACATTGCTTGAAAGATCAATACCCAAACCTCCAGTGCAAACAACAGATAATGAAGAATATTTTTTTTTTCATTGACTTGCATATCACATCATGGAAGGCCTTAGGATATGGAGACGGAGGTGCCTTGGACCTCAGCCCTCACTTCAGCTTATTTTGCTTGGTCTTTTCTTCTCTCCCTTTCCTTTCCCTTCTCTTCTTCATCCCCTTCTGTCCACTTATCCTAATGTTAACTCATTTTTACCCTTTTCCCCACAATACTTAATCTGGAAATCCAAACATACCCTCATGAACCAAAAAGCCATCTTACAGGGGCACTTCACACCTGAGTCCCACCCTGTAGCTACATATATTAACAATGCTGCTAATGACCTCAGAAAAGAATTCAATAAATAAATAAAATTCTCATCATGAGAATGTGTAACTTTTTAACCTTTGTTTTTTTTTTTTTTTATATGTACAACATGTGAATGACAGGTCTGACATATTATCAACAGTAATATTTCTTTTCATATTTTCATACTTTCACCCAAACGTAAGTCTGGGAAAAGAATTAGCAGGTACATTTGTTTGAGAGAAGGGAAAGACACCACCAACTCAACATTTACTTTTATTGCATATGTAAAAATCTGGTTAATTCCTTACAAAACACATTTCCAGACCGTGATTCTGCTATCATCACATAGCACTCGCAGCCCAACCAAATTAATATTTGATAACATATTGCTAACATAACTACTTCCTTAAGGTACCTACTCATGCAAAAGAGTTTAATGACTTGACTTGGGACTAGAGGCTTTACAAGATACTAAAGCAATACTAAGTATTAACAAACTTAATCTCCTTCTAATGAATTGAACCTTTTTTTTTTCCTCTCTCTTTTTTACTTCTGGAACCAATTTTCACTTATCTACAAAAACAAAAAAATAATAAATAAATCTTTATATTTAAGTTAACAAATACATAAATATAAGAAATCAAGATGTTACTGTCTAAATAGCCAGGCAAAATAAGCAATAAGAGGAGTCTCTCCATGGAATAACAATAAATAGCATTCATAACTATAAACAAAATACACAATATTGAATTTCTTATATAAAAGCAGAATGCAAAGCACACAATGACTTTTTAACGGCAAATGTCTCGCTTCCATGCAGTGCTATCAACCGTTTCTGAAACTATTTTTTGTTACAAAGTCCATCTCCATCAAAATTGAATAATCAAATAATAAAATAGCAATAAATAATCATAAATAAAAACTGTTACCATCTGACTAAGGGTACAGGAGAAGAAGAAGAAGCAAAAAAAAAGAAAAAAAAAATGCAATTGTCAGTTGTAATAATTAAATAAACACATACTTGCATCACTTCCTCAGAAATAAGTCTCAAAATTGTTAACATGAGACTAAACCTCCCAAATAAATCATGTAACACTTCTTCCAAGTTCTCATTACAGAACAAGAGATCAAGCAAGGTTTGTATAAATATCACTAATTATATGATCAAGCAACAATACTACAAAAATTATTATTACTTCCACTACATGAATCATTGGCAAAACATTGTTATAAGATGCAAACCATTCTGAATGCTCACAATAGCATGGACTGCACATATTACGACTCATTACATAATTAAAAGAGAAGCTGCCCAAGGGGTGCCACCGACAAACAGGCAAAATCTTATTCTTACCACTCACATTTCCACCATAATGTTAATTTCATCTAGCAACCTTTTTTGATTTTGAAGAGATACGGAAGTGTATCAACAAAGTGTAAGAAACTAATTCTCTATGTGTCTACATATATTCAAAAGTCTTCCACTAGCAGATGGTATAGGAATAATCTCGGTATCTAAAGCCAGGTATATTAGTGGGATAATACTGTACAGGAGTCTATAGCCAAGGATAATACAGGAATGATAACCAATGTCCAAGACCACGGATGGTTCTCAAGCCCAAACCCCCAAGTAATTTGTTTATTCCATATTCACACAGAACAAAAATCATGGGTTCTTTGCACATTATATAGTACCTAATAGTTGTTGCTGTGGATGACGCATGCATTGAATCTTCAGTCATGAAAAAAAAAAACTTAAACAAACTAATATTCATGAAAAGTCATCATAACATAACAAATAACAAACTTTTCTAAATTAACTTATTAAACCATAGACATAAGTAAAACAACCACAATTTTTTTTTTACAATTTTACTTGAATCTGAAGTCGTCACATAATAACAAACATGTCTTATTTCTGATTGTCTTTTCCATTGTTCTTCTGAGAATAAACCTTCTCTATGTAGATTTTGTATGTACAAGATAACCGTGACAAATTGGTTTCTCTCTGCCCCCCTGAATTTACTCTGACATGGATTAAAATGAAAATGACTTGAAAGTGACATTTACTGGATTTGTAAGGGAAGAAACAAAACAAAGATGAGCATAATATAAGCTAGACCTAATCACAGGAACTCTTTCCCCAACTCCGACTCAAGGCCAGAAAAAACAATAATCATAACCTCAAATAATGAAAAAGAACAACATAAAAAGCAGTCTGACATGATTAATTATGTAAAAAAAGAATAAATAAAAAAAGTGTAAAGCAAGGCATACATAAGTTGCATCCAGCTGGGAAGCCTTTGAGTGTCTCTACCAGCTGTCTTTATCACAACACTCTTTCCGAGATGCTGGATTTTCCCTTGCAATCCTAGTTCATCACAGATGCTCCCCTTGTACCTGAAACTAATATGAACAGGGTCTACCCTATAAATACAAAATTTAGAAATATTTGGCTTTAAACAATGCACACATTCTGTACTAATATAAAAAATACAGACCATGTCAATACAACTACACTTAAGTGCTGTCTCAATGGATATCACTTATTTACACACACAAACTTCTTATCACCATCCCAGGACAGAGACAACACACGAGCACACACTCATTTACAGACTGATTTGTAAACAAGATCAGCACATATATACATAGTACCACAGTTACACTCGTTCACTCATGCAATATAATAAATTGTTTAAGCCTTTATAAATCCAATAAATGTATTGCGATATGATGATAACATGTTGAATGATTATGAGTTTGGATGAGCTTTTCCACTTCAAAAATTATTATTCCTCTTTCATAATACTTGGGAATGGTGGTGTAAGGAGGTTTCGTGGCTGATGAATGCTAGTGTTAAATCCAACGATTGGCATCTACCGTCAATCAACCAGTACTACAACCGCAACACAGAAGGCCTCTGCGGCACCCAGCCTCAGTCGCCCGATGCCTGTTCTTCTGCCATGTCATCGCACTCATTGTTTCCATTCCCTTCCTCCAGTATCTCCTCCATGGTGTCGTCCTTCCCTATACTAGCCTCGGCCTCTGGCGAGTCCTTCTTATCATCCTCCTCGTCGTCATCGTCGTCATTTTGCATTAACTTCCGAGCAAGCTTGACAGCATAAAATTCATTATAGTGCTTCTTGCGTTTCATTTCAAATAACTTTCTCTTCTCTGTGAACAAAAGTTAAAAGAACTGAAATTACAAATATTCAGCAGAAGATCCTTTATTTCCATTATAAAAAAGCACACACTATGCATTCACATCCCTTAGTTACAAAAGACAAACCCCAGCAACTAGAACACTACAAGACTAAACAAATCATGCAGAAAGTGAAGCTTCTAGCTAAGAGTATATCATGAAGTCCTGTACATTGAAAGAAGGCTGCCATTTATAAAAAGGGGGGGGGGGGGGTGAAATGAGCTCTCAGACGCCTTCAGAGTGTATGCAGGTGTACAAGTGCAAGTGAAATCATAGTTGTCTGTTCTGGTATATGATTATTGTCCTATTAAAGTACAATGTGGCATATAACAACAAATGATGTATCTCGCATGAAAGTGCACCAATTCTCTTATTCATTTATATATCTTCATCCTTTTGCCTCATTCATTCCACTCCACATTTCACATTAAGGACGTTACCTCTCTCTTCTGGAGAAATCTCTTCTTCGCTCTCCTCTTCTGGTTCAGGTTCAATCAAGGCCTTTGGAAGTTCTGAGCCTCCAAGTTGAATCCTAGGACACATGGAAGGAAAATTTCAGAATTGCATTCATTGATGCAATTGCGATGGACTCATCATACCCAGAAAATCCTCAAAATGGATGTCACTCCAAAATTAGGCGTGACAACAATAAAATTATCAACCTTCAAAATATTATCAATGCATGAAGGCTTTCCCCCAGTCCATGCCGTTCTTTGTACTATAAAATTACATTGAAGAAGTGCATTTCAAAATCAGTTGCTTTTCCTCATATTTGCAGGCAAACCAATAAATGATATTGCTTGTTTGTTCTGAGGTGTGCTCTCTCATAAATATATTGATAAGCAACAAAAGGGCTTTCTTTATAGAAATGAGCTTTATACTGAAGGTTTCTTTTCTATGGCCCATGTTTGAATAAGACTAGTCATTATATCTTAAAGATGAATTCCACTTCTGAAGGTGAATTCTTACTGCTATCGTAAATGATTAAGATTTTCAGCTAATTTTAAATGAGTGCATACTATCAAGAAATAAATGAATAAATGCATAAACAAATAAATAACTAGACAAACAATAGCTATTAAAATACATCAAGGCAAAGCAAAGCTAATATGTAACTATCTTCGAACCCACTCAATCTAAGCGCTGTCTACAGAGGCCAGACCCAACCAGCTGACCATGACCACCACAAGCAACTTAGATCGCACACAGATCTAATACTGACTCATACTCGAGTACAGGAGGTTTTCCCTGCCAGCACTCAGTGGCCAGTGCACTGAAATGCTAATACAAAGCAAGATGTACTCAAAACTACCACACAATAACACATCAACAGAGTTATATAAATAACCCGTAATCCCGTTCATGGTTCAGCATGGTTAAGTTCCGTCCTCTGAGGGTTCTGGCCAGATTGAGTGAATTTCAACTGTTCTCGTCAAGAAGAGTTACGAATCTCATTCAATGCCTTTGTGCTTTATTCCATCTTAAAAAGGAAAAAAGAATGAGAAAGAAAGAAAAATAATTAATAAGTAAATAATGAATAAAGGTAATAAAAAAAAAAAAAAAAAAAAAAAAAAAAAAAAAAAAAGCAATAAACATGCACTTCATAAAATTAATGAGTGCCAGTCTTGGAAAAATCCTGTGCCATTTGGAAGGATCCTAAAGTGAGTGCAGCCTGGGCCCTCTCCCTCTGTCCTGGCATCAGGTCAAAGAGCAGGACAGAATGCTGCAATCTGATGAGAGAGGCTGCTAGCCGATTTATTTGGAGAGGAAATACCTGTGGACTTGGCCCTTCTGTATCCTGGCTCAGCCCTGTACAGGAATTATGCTTTGGTCTTGTGAATCTCACAAACAAATATGCAATAAATTCTATCTTGACAGTATATTTCTCATTAAAAAGCTTTTCTTACATAAGCAAACCTATAGGATTCATGTCGAACAAGTTAGAAATAAAAGAACAAAGGGAAGAACAAGAAAATGCGCAAGAATGCCATATATTTCTGTTCTTTCCTCTATTGTTTTATACAAAATTAGCAAACCTAAAAAAAAAAAGTTATCCTACTAAAGAATCAAACTTATTTAAGCATATGTCTGTTAGTCCATTCACACACAAAGATTTTTTTTTTTTTTTTTTTATTCATATTTTGCCACATCTAAATTTTCAAAGCAAAAGCCTTCTTTGTGTGGCTTCCAAGCGAAACCTTCAAAATAAAAAGCCTGCTCCTGTCACCTTCCCCTCTGCCTACAAGAAGAAGCCAAAATCAACCCGAAAACAAAACTATCTATCGGACATTACAGTGGGAACAGAATCTGTAATAAATCTGAGAACAAACCCAAGAGTCTTCCTGCACCTCGTTCCACCCAACAGCCAAGGCACTCACTTCTTGGCCAGGAGATCGGCATCCAGGCCATCGTGCTCGTCCCCAGAGTCCCCCTCCTCATAGTGTGCAAAGGGGGTCTTGGGCTCCTCGATCTTCATGTGTCCATAATCCTTGTCTTTGGGATGAAGCGTCGCCAGGATGTTCATTTCGTCCCATTTTGTTTCTTTCCTGTGAGGGACAAGAAAAAAAAGCATTAGTAAGACTATCAAGAATTTTTGAGGACATGAAACTATTTAGCCCTTAAGAGTAAATGGAAGTAATCTGCCATCACATTTACTATTTTCTCTCTAATCAATATGTAATTCTGTAGATGTTCTAGAATTTCCTTCACCAATCAATATCACTAGTATTACTTCTTGTTGATCTAGTACAATCTTGTATGTATATATATTTTTTTTTCTATAAGTTCTGCAAATGGATTCCATAAAAAAGAAGCATTTATTACTATCCACTATGAAAACTTGCATTTCCTAGTGGTCATACTAGTCCAAAAAGTGTTCTTCACAAAACAAAGTTTGAAAATAAACTCACTTAAAATCCTTCCCCAGTAAAATCAAATTGCTTTCTTTCACAAAATAAAAAATGTACTGTACACCATTATAAAATGTGATATTTCATCATCTTTATATGAAATGGACTATTAGCTACATGATATAAATAAGGACATAAGGGTATTACATGGATACAGATTATGTGTCCATGAAATGCCCTACTACTTCAAATGGTTAATGGCTAATGGTTACAAAACAAAATATATGTTCTAGACATCAAAGGTCACCTAGCACTATAGAAAGGGGTAATAGAGAAAAGGGTAATGACGTTCAATTGACGATTATGTGTGCTACATGTCAGAAGTCTTACAGCAGTTCAGGAAGGTAGGGAAAGGGAAATTTGATCACAGCTGACAAAGGAAGATGTATGGGATTTTGCAGACAAGTCCATAGGGTAAGGTAGGGCTTGGCAAAGGAGAAAGGGCACAAGGCCAATTAGATTACAGACTTAGTGAGAATGTCAGGAGGGAGAGAATCTAGGGAAGGGGGTTGCTGTGACAAAGGGTCATATCCAGGGGGGAGTGGGAGGGATAGTGGGTTAGGAGGGGGGGATGATGTGGTTGAAGCAGGGGGGGCAATGGGAGGTGTTGGGAAGGAGTGGGAGGAAGGGGCGCAGGGGAAACATGGGTAAGAGGATGGATGTTGGCAGTTACTTTGAGTATAGAAGGAATGGGATTTGAGATATGGAGGACGGTTGAGGTGTAGGTATGTTATCTTAGGTCATGATTACAGAGTTTTGAATGCCTTCAAGAGTTTCTGCAGTGGTTAGTTGGGGAGACCTGAAAAAAAAGGTTTTCTTATAGAGGGGAAGGAGAGGGGACAGGTTTGAAGGGTGGAGGGAGAGGCTGATGGAGAGGATGGGGTAGGAAATGGGATGGAGCATTTAGCTTGTCTTGTGCGATGAATTGGGTGAAGAGGAAGAGGGTCAGGTACCAGGGAAGTGGGGATTGGAGTTTCTGGAGTAGAGGAGGATATTGGGGTGTCTGGATTTAAAATGGCAAAAGAATTTGACTGGGAGACGGAGGGGGTAGAAGTGGGATGAGGAAGAGATGGTGGGGGAGACACATTTTGGGAGGAAAGGGGAGGGGGCGAGTGATTACTGGAGTAGGAAGTGAGAGAGAAACCTAGTCAACATGCTTCCAGTCTGGCTTCATGTAGAGTGAGGCCAAGTCTGAATCTGAGAGTTGCCACTTCAGACTCAAACTTAAAGGTAGGGCAGCCCCTATAAAATACATTATGGGGGCACATGTGTGAGACTGTGCAGTGCAGTTTGATTGATTATGACCAGGTTGGGCACACAGAGGGCATCAGATTGTGGAATGGCAGTGTTTGGCAGGATGGCCTAGACAACAACAACTCTGATATTGATGGGAATTTGCTGCCAATGTAAACATTGAAGGGAAGGTCATGTCTACAGAAAGTGATCTTTGCAATATTGGTCGAGAACTTACAATAGCCTCTAGGGGGAGTGGTGTAGCATTGTACTGATACTGCATCACAATTCATGAGGCAGGCAAGTAAGTCTTCTCCACAATCTGACCAATTTTTGTCATAGACAGGACAGTTGGTTGGGTTGATGGAGACAGTTCTGGTACAAGTATTGAGGGTGAGGCGAGGTTGGACAGGAATGGGTTTGCCAGTGAATTCTGTCAGGGTTGATAATGCTTTACCTTGGGCTTTGGATTTAACCGTGACAAGATGGGAACGATCAGGGTGGATGTGAAAGGAAACTTTGCCTACTTGTTTTTAGAGACATTGCTGGAAGAGGAGAGTGTTGTCTGATTAAATAGCTGTGGAGGGAACCACAAAAAATCAGTCCCATTTGGTTAGCTAAATAGAGTATTTAAGATGTTTGTGGAAGTGGGAATAGTATAAGGACTGAGCTGAATGGAAGAGGGAGTAGTGTTGAGTTAGGTTGTATTGCGGAGAGATGGACAATAAGGTTGTAGAGTAGTAATAAGGGAGGATGGGTAGTTGATGAATAAAGTGGTGGAAGGACAGATGAAGTATGTTGGCAGAGGGGGAATGTCTCTTGGAGGTTGAGTATTGACCTGGGTGGATGATGTGACTGTAGGCTTTGAGGAGGGGATAGTGGTAGCAGTGTTCAGAGTCATGTTCAGAGGAGAGCCTGGAATCAGGGAACCAGAAGAATTTGAATTAGTAGGGCTATCTGATGACCGGGGCAAGCCTTATTGCCCCTAATAATGGTATCTAATCTTCATTATTGGCCAGGGTAAGCCTAGAGTATGTTGGGTCCCCTTGAGGGGTTAGGGCTAGACAACTTGACGGGAGAATAACGTGCCCTTGGCTCCCCCAGGCCAAACATGACCGCCACAAAGTCAGCCTTTCACCCTTTCAACACAGCTCTCACACCTTAGGAAATGGATACTGGAAGGGGTTGGAGAAGAGAGGGAAACGAAAAGCGGGAGGGAGAATGACCATACAGAATTAGTTAAGTCAGGGGCTGAGGCCCAAGGAATGGGTTCCAGTCTCTGTCTCCTGAGCCCCCCACAGCAACAAAGGGCATGGGATTGGGAGTACTGTTTCAAAGCCTTAAAAAATGGGGTCAGAAATCAAAAACAAGATACAGATATGTTATACACTTCTTCCTAAGATTTAACCAGTTTTTACTCAAAGACAATTGTGAAAACATTTTCGGAATTCTAAGTGCAAGCATTTTTCAGTAGGGACAGAACTTCCATGGCATCCAGTACTTATTATGACATTTGTTTTTTTTTGTTGAAGAAGATTCTGAAGACAGATAACATTACAACTGATTAAGAAATGTCTTCTTCCACAACAATAAACTCTACTAAGTTATACAACTGATATCAGATGAAAATAGACTAAACATGGAAAAGCATCACACTTTATATGCATGTTCATTTTGTATCACAGTAATAAAACACAGAATTAAATACATTCCATATTCCATTAAATACATTACATATGTTCATATGTAATGCAGAATATGGAGTCCAAGAGTACTCTTCATAAAATCTATCATGCAATTATTGTTGAATTAACTCTCTTATTCTAATATAAAACAACTATGCTTTTAACTCATAGATGTCAGGAGTCCATGTATAACTGCACTGTCAACTGTGCCTTAGTTTATCAATTCTATTTACACATAGATGGCTTCATAGGGGACCGTTGTGGTGCTGCAGCAACACGCACAGCTGGGGGCCAGGAAGGTCTCCCTGCGCAAGAGTCTGAATCTGGCGCTGGGTCTGACATTAGGAAGGGAAATCTACCAAGAGTAACTCTCTCTCACAGCAAAATCCAACAGCTTTCAAGAGAAGTCACCTTCTTAGTTATTGCCTGGGAGTTTGTTCCATAAAATTGGATGCCACGCTAATGGCCTTACATGCAGATAAGAACAAAATACAAAATCCCAAGGCCAGCTTGTCACACCTGCCTACTCTGTTCCTTGGATGATTTTAAAAAGTTTTTGTACTTATTACTATTACCAATAATAATTTATTTTCTGTATACTTAATAAATTCTGCAAGCCTCAAGTCCAAATTTGTCTTGGCTAAGAAGTAATAATGAATAAACAACCACTTATCACCCTCAGTCTATAATCAGCATGCTTTGGGAACCAAGCAAGGACATTAATAAATAACATGTTCAATATATGAACAAAAATACATATTAAATCAGCCAGACATCCTGCAGTGCCCCATAAAGACTCTGTCTACAAGCTCTATATACAGTAATGATCCCAAAAGGCAAATTACACCTGAAAATCACAGAGCTCTGCTTTCCCAAAACTCATTTGCAGAAACAACACAATTATTCTGTATCACTCAAGTTTTCAAGTTACACTCCTTCCTCTTGCAACCCTACAACAGCAGCAAATGCATCAAACGTGCACATCTACAAATGTCCCCATCACCTACACAAGAGTGCCTCAATCACAGAGTCACCACACCCATGAACATTGTACAGGAGCTGTCATATGAAATCCAAGATGACGGAACAAGAAATGTGGTCGAATGCTCGCAATTAAAAATGTCTCGGCTTTATATTTCGGAGGAAATTCAAACCCTAAGTCTAAGTTATATTATATCTTCTTACTATGCTTAGCATGACATAGTACTAATACTAATATTACTAACAATAATTATCATTAATTAATTATAACTCCCTATAATAAAAAAAAGTATTATTATTTAATAACAAAAAATAATTCTTATTAATAATAAAGATTATCATCATCATTATTTGATAGTAAAATTAGTACTAATATCAATACCTAAAATAAATAAAATCATGGACAAGGACTACTACTATTTCTAATACAATTATCATTAATTATCATAAAATTGTTGAACGAGCAGCGGCAGAGGCAGCAGCAGTGGTAGCAGTATAATCATTAGCATTAACATTAGTCTTTGTAATAGTAATGGTATCAATAAATAACAATAATAAAAATAAATATCCATAAGTAATCCGTGATGATGATGATGTTAAACAATAATAATAATTATTATTAATATAATAATAATAATAATAATAATAATAATAATAATAATAATAATAATAATAATAATAATAATAATAATAATAATAATAACAGCTAATGCTAATGATCACAATTATAAACAATCATAATCATACGAACAACAATAATAACAATAACATTTTCAGACTCTCTCAAAGACATAGATTCATGTAGAGAGAGACCGTGATTGGTGCATGATAAAAGCATAACCCTTTGAACATGGCTACATATACTGTCTACTGTAGTTTTTGTGAATTTTGTCGCACACGGAAAGCACCATAAGCACCAAGCCACTGAGGAATTAATTAGTAGGCCAGGAGTAGCCTCTCTCGTTCCTTGAATTTCTGGTGACAGTGAGATAGGGAGGGATGGGGAAGCGACACCTTGGTGAAGGGGTGCTTGTGGACATCCCATGTGGAAACAGTTAACCCACAGGAAATTGTGTTCACTGTTGTATTGTTTTGTAAATTGTCTTTGCACATAGATGGCTCACAAGTGCTTAGCCACAAAAAGTCAATCAGTAGACCTTGCATGCAACCTCACCTGTTCCCCCTTCAGTTGAGTTCATGTGAATTTTCTTTTTCTTTTTTTTAACTAATGTTATTAATACTGATGCTACTATTTTTATTAAAGACATTATAATCATTATAATGCTTTTAGTATTAATAACAGCAATAAGAGATACCAAAAATATTTCGAAAATCAAGGAAAACGGCAAGCAAGCGAATCAGGTCGTTGTCGTAGTTGGCTCATTGGTGCCTTGGTATTAGTGGAGCCATCTATGTGTAAAACAATTAACAAATTCAACTCACAGTGGGCACGGCATGTATGCACTTGCCATCCTGCAACATTGGGCTAAGAAACTAAACTCACAATGGACAAGGATTGGATGTCATGCATCACAGCATAATATGTTGAGAAAAAAAGAAAAGAAAAGAAAGGAAAAAGAAAGGAAGAGAGGATATACAAAAATAGGGAGGAAAAGAGGACAGAGGAGAAGAGAAAGGAAAAGAAAGAAAAGGAAAGAGAAGAGAAGAGAAGAGAAGAGAAGAGAAGAGAAGAGAAGAGAAGAGAAGAGAAGAGAAGAGAAGAGAAGAGAAGAGAAGAGAAGAGAAGAGAAGGAAAAGGAAAGAGAAGAGAAGAGAAAAGAAGGAAAAGGAAAGAGAAGAGAAGAGAAAAGAAAAGAAGGGAAGAGAAGGGAAAAGAGAAAAAAAATTAGAAACATGAATAACACTTCCTGAAGTGATCATCTCTCCCCCCCCCTCCCCCATCCCAAACCCCAAGTCTAATCATGGGTTATTAGCCATCCAAATTAGCTCTATGAACAGATAAAAAAAAAAAAAAAATCAAGTGCAGGGGTTTAAACAAGCACACAAAAATTAATGGCATCTTATACAAATGTGCATAAAAAGCACATGAACAAAAGTTCGGGATATTTGGTTATCTGGTCTGAAGGCAATTATTTTCCTACCTTTGCTATGAGCTTTTTTTTTTTTTTTTTTTTTTTTTTTTTTTTTTTTTTTTTTACT